TATCACTTAATTTTTTATATCATTAAAAGATATTTTTTTTATTAATGATGTGGGACTCATTTGAATAGATTTGGTGCCATGTCAACCAAAGGCAAATTTCTTTATTAATGATATGGGACCCATTTGAATAGATTTGGCACATAATAACATGACATGTCAAAATATTTGTCCATGTCATCACTTTTCTCAATTATGCTCTCCACATCATCAAAAAAAATATAAAAAATGTCACATAAGCGAAGTTAACAGCTCAAATTAACAGAAGGACTAACAGAGTACATTTCTTATAGTTGAGAGATAAAAAAAGTGCAAAAAATTGTTGAGGGATCAAAAATGTGTATTTCTTAAAGTTGAGGGATCAAATTTAACATTTAACCAAATATAAAATATTAAAAGTAGAGGAAAAATGGGTGTCCTACTGTCCCACTGATACCCAGCAAAATAGGGTCATGAGAGATATCTCACTGAGGTCCCAACATCCCCACACAGAGGCTTTGATTGTTCGAGAAGGGGCAGCCCCAATTTTTTTTTTTTTTTTTAAGAATACACTTTCTTAGAAACACCACCTCCCCTCTGACACATCTCTCCCTATCATTTCATTTAATATGCACCCAATTTATTCACCTATCTATACCTCTCTCTTTTAGTCTTTTCCTTTTAAGATAAAGTACTTCTCATTCCATTGCTTATTTTAAAAAAAGTACTTCTCATGTTCTTTGTGGCAGGATAGAGGGCATATGCTCATGGAATTTTTCAACTTCTTTATATACATAAATTTTGATTCAATCTTCACACATCTTTTCCTTTATTTTTAAAAAATTATATATTGTATAGATCTACCATATATGTATAGCAAATTATGGGTGCATGATTTCTAGTTTTTGAAATATATTGTTGTTTTTTAATACCATTCCAAGGTTTATTAAGAACATAAAATTGAAGTCTAGTCTACCATGATGTTGAGGTTCCACCCCCTATTAATGACTAAAAATAATGCAATCCACCTAGAGTGAAGCACTATAACACTCTTTATTGGGCAATAAAATATACATTAATGATATCTTTAATTAATAGAAAATTAACACATCTAATATTTTGTTTTGTCATGCATATGTGTTAGAAGTTGTCTTGTGGTGCATCATTGATCTTACCTGCCACGTTAAAGATTTAACGCTGAAATGTTTATAAATGTGCAGAAGTAACATTTTTCTATTGATTAGAAATACCGGATGAAAATCTTTGATATTATAAATCTACTGTACTAAAGACTTTCCCATTAGTCATGCTAAAAATAATTCATATACCATGAAATTAATTTGGTATTCACATCGATCTACGCCTTGAAAAATGTTTAGTTTCTTATTATTGAAAAAAGGAAATGTTTTTCATTTCCCCTCTAGTTATGTATATTAATTTACAAAATCTAGTATAGTTTTTTTTTTTTCCCTTGTAAGTAAATAATCTAGTCAGCTAGAACAGGTGCAAGAAGATTCAGGAAAATGGTGAACCTCTTATTTTAGGAAATACAGACAAAATATGCACTGAAAATGGACAAGCTAAGGAGCTCCAACTTCATGCATCCGTCCAAAATGTAATTCCACAAGTTTATACCAGCAATAATATGTTAAGAATAGAGACAATAAAGGTTGGTTGGTTATTGAAATTCTTCCTTACCCATGTCTGTTGTGCAAAGTGAAACGCATTCAGATGTTGTAAGATCTCAGACACTGAATGCAGACCAACTACTCCCATAGGCTATTGGATAACATTAATCTCTCTTTCTTTTTCTTTTTCTTTTTTTTTTTTTTTGGTTTCAAGTTAGTGTAAAATAAGGCTTTATTTATATGTGTTGTGCTGTGTAAGTTTAAATTTTATTATTATTATTATTTCAAAATATATAAATATTAATTAAAATTAATTAAAAATTAAAAATGTATATTTTTAAATAATGTGTTGTGTGAGAAGAATTTGTGCAAATCATTATCAAATGAAACCTAACTAAGATTTGCAATTAAGATGTCACTCTATCATAAATCATTGTCAATTACTATTTAGAATTTTCCTTGGCAAAAAAAAGAAAAAAGAAAAATTAAAGGCAACCGTAATTCACATACACACGAGAGAAAGATAATATCATTGAAAATTTTACACTAAAAATAAAGCCTTATTTTACACTAACTTGAAAGCAAAAAAACAGAAAAAAGAAGAAGAAGAAGAAGAAGAAGAAGAAAGAAACCCACCTTTTTGTATCCAACCGGCTAACGGGCCTGGATTCTGAGAGAAATTGATGGGTCCTTGTCGACTGACGAGTGACGCCTTAATTGGAGCTTTCGACTTTCGAGCCTGTAGATGGAGTTTTAGGAGCCCATTAAATATTTAAAACCTCATTTTTAATTGGAGGGGAAGGATATTCTAAGATTGGGCTTCTAAAATCCAAGTGGCCCAACTTTTTCTACGTTTAAGAAAGCGGCCCTCTTGGCCCAAACCACTAATCTATTAATTCGTTTTAAAAAATGCTTAATTTTATCTTCTCCAAAAAAAAAAAAAAAACTTAATTTTGATTATTTTATTTTTCAGAAAATTGATCGATTCATTATTCAGAAAATCAAATTACGACAAAAGCTCAATTCGTACATGTTTCACATCAGCTTAAAAGCAGTAACATGATTGATAATGCAGGCAGGTGTAATAAATTTATCATGTAGTTGAACCAGGAATTTAGTATGATGTTTCGATACTAAACTTTAAGTGTTTGAGTGAGGTGATCGAAATTTTGAACTCTATTATCGTCGTAAACTCCACTAAAAGATGGTCTAATGGCCACGCGCCTCATTTAAGAAGGTGAAATATTTACCCAATCTGTGAATCGAATCCTCAATTACTAATAACTAATTCAAACTAACTTTTTAATTATTATCTTATAAAAAAAAATTTATCATGTAGTTGTTTGGAGTTTAGTGTGGTTGTTTCGTTGAATTGAACAATTGAATCGAGAGCAACATCTCAATAGAGGATTAATAGTAAAAACAGTATTTTCAATTTAATAAATTAATTTATTAAGTTTAGAAATATATTATTATTTACTTCTTATTCTTCATTTTTAATACAAAATTTTCCTATTCACATGTATGAACACTTTAATGATAATTTTTTTCTATTCTTTTCAAATTAATAATAATTAAATCATGTTTTAAAGAATCTTAAATGATTCAAGTGATCATTTATATATTCTTAAAGACATTTCACCTTATAAAGTGGGGTTTTCGAATCCAATCCCTACCATTCTCCTTCTGCTCAGTTTTCCATATTCACACTAAAAAAAAAAAAAAAGAGATTAAGTCATGTTTCACGTGAGAGAGAAAATATAATCATATATACAACTGTAGAGGACAACAAAGGACTCAAATTTTTGGACTTTGGGTCAATCCCCATAAAGCGAGGAGAAATATAAATTCATTAGAATAATTAAAAAGCCAAAGCTTGTGAGAGGTGCTTCTTTTTTTAATTATTCATGTTGTAAAATGATTAGACCCGGCCCACACCTACTGTGTGTGACTGTGTGGCTAGAAATCAAAATTCGTCTAGTCAATGTTTTCGAACAACAATGTGCTTCTTGATTCTTCGTTGTAACTTCCAAGTAACCACACTAAA